GTTTTTGTTTAACTTGTTATAAAAAGAAAAATGCAATTGTTAAAAAGTTATATAAAAAACTAATTTTACAATTTTTGTTTTATTATTATTATTATTTTTTTTTTTTAATTTTATAAATATAATTAAAGCACAAAAGAGAGGCACACGATAAATCAACTCAAAGCCAAACAACGACAGCTACACACACACACACACACGCACACACACAGACACACACACACACACACACACACACACACACACACACACACACACACACACACACACGCCCACACACACACACACACACACTCACACGCACACACACACACAGCTAACTGTGTTTTAATGCTTTATAAGCTGAAATTAAGCGAAAATGTTTTTAATATTTTTCATATGTAATTTATTATGCTACTTAAAAAAAAGAAAAAAAAACAACAAAATGTATATCGAAAAATGCCCAGAAATCCCAACAACAACAAACAAACCCTGCAACAAATAAAAACCCCACAAAAATGTCAAAAACGTATGCAAAAAAAGAAACTTTTTGCATTACATTTTATTTCGAAACATTTTTTTTTTTTGATACTTTTAAGCAGCTAATACTAAATATAAAATTAAAAACTAACTAATAATACTTGTTTTTTTTTTATTATTATTAAACATAAAAAGTCAGCAAATGGCAAATTTTTTCTTCTAAAATAAAAAATATAAAAAAAAATCTAAAAAAAAAAATACCAACAACAAAAAATCAAACAAAACAAAAGCGAAAATGTAAAAATAAATGTTCTGCTTCGAAATCAAAAACGTACAAGAAATGTGCTTTTTAATGATGAGTTTAAGTGGAAGCTAGGTGGATTTGTAGTTGTGAAAGAAGTGAAAGCGACTGAACCTTGGGTTGCTGCAGATTAAAAGCCTTAAAAGAATTATCAGTTGTTAGGCAACACTGTTTAAGGCGCACCTTTAGTATGGAAAAATGTTGTGAAATATTGTTTAACTGACACGTTATCCAGTCAAGAGCTGCGCTACAATAGGCCAGCACTTAAGTGCCTCGCAAGCTGTTAGTCAACACTGAGCAAACATTTGTCTAACTGCTGTTCAACACTGCCGCTTGAAGTCCAGGAGCTTGCATATTCAGATCTGTGGAATAGTCTTGAGCTGCTGCTGAACACTGAATGAGCTGCTGCTGCTGCTGTTGTCCAACACTGCTCGCGTCTTACTCATAAATCGTTCGCTGGCTGCCTCAATTGCTTAGATTCAATTATTTTTGTTCTTGGCGCGTGTCTTGGCGTGGGCGTGGGACACACTGACTGCCGGCCGCCAGCCGCTGATTGCTGCCCGCCGGCGTTTTGGACTGACGACAACATCTGGCAGCTCAATTGCCGCGGCAACTGCTGCAGAAGGAGGCGCCGCGGCAGCGGGCGGGTCAAGAATGGGCGGACATATAAAAAGACTATGACATCATGTTATTATGCAAAAAGACGACGGCTTCATTGAGTGGGGCAACAGCAGCTTTTCTGTGTGTCAGCTTTTAAGCTATCGGCGCCGACTGCGCTCCCTGCCTCTCTCTCCCTCTTTCTCGCTCTATCTAACACTGTCTAGTTAGTTGTTCTCTCTCGCGTGCTCTCTCTCTCTCCCTCTGTCTCTCTATTGCTCAGCGATCTCTCATCGCTTGCCCTCTCTTTCTCTCCTACAGATATGCATAACTTGAAGGCTTTGGCGCCGCGTTCGGCGCTTGGGTGATTAATACGTTGGCTCCCTCCTCTTTCGTATTCCGCCCCCGCATCACCCTCTCCGCTTCAGCTGCCCCATGAAACTGGCCGTGATTAATGCCTAATTGCCAATTGAATGTCAATAACAGTAATAGAAATATGTTAACTCCTTCCATATGCAAATCCGGCGACTGCAGAATGTGTCATTCACTGGTTCATTCGTGCGATCATCGCTGACATTTTCCAACACTGATAACACTAATTGGAAGCCAATCGTATGTGACAGATGCGTAACACTTAATAGCTTGTTGATTTAACTAAATTGTGTACCGGAATATTCCGAAGTGCTTGCCGACGAAATGGATCAGTCTCCAGACTCGACAGTCGGTTTTGAACCGAACCATAACTACCAAAGCACAATATTGATAGGGGGTTATTTTTTGGAAAGGCTCAAACGTAAACGGAACTAGTGATTCCTGAATCTAGCAAGGACTTGAGTAGGTTGAATAAAAGCTCGAAACTGGTTTTTAAAAAGGCGGCTTCTAGAAAAATCGAAAATTTGAAAAGTGAGTAGATGAAACTGGAACCAGTTCCAATAGCAGAATGCCAAGTGTGCGCACAGTCAAAAGCGAGAAGGGATCAGTTCCATTGTCAGATTGGTTCACTTATTCGAATGAACCTGAATTTTCCTAGATTTAAATATGGAAGCTAACTTCCTATGTTAAGGTCAAGTGTATTAGGAATAATGTTATCTATATTCGGACAGTCAAAATCCAATCGGAACCAGTTCCACAACCAGAATGGTTCAACTGAATTTGACAAGATTAACAAAGGGAAACTAACTTCCTATGGTAAGGTTGAGTATACTAGGACTAGCTTAACAAAGGGAAACTAACTTCCGATATTGAGGTCAGGTGGACTAGGAATAATGTTAGCTATGTTCGGACAGTCAAAATCCAATCGGAACCAGTTCCACAATCAGACTGGTTCAACTGAATTTGACAAGATTAACAAATGGAAACTTACATCCGATGATAATGTTAAGTGTGCTAGAAATAGAAGCGGAGGGATCTGCTGCCGGATTATACGGGGTTAGGGGCTATCTGTTCTATTGCCAGCTCTCGCCAGGTAACGTCGACACAGCGACAGGTTGGGATCGGTTTTGTTTTTGGGGAATATCTGTGCATGGACTCGGCCCGATAAGGGTCGCGTCAACGTCATTTGGCAGTCCAAGAATCAAGCGGTTACACTGTCCAACAAAACGAGTGCGGCCAGTCGAACCGAATGGAAATCGAGCGCAGTGATAAATTATTGTATTTAATCGTATAAAATGCCACCCATAAATAACAAAACGCATTATCATTGAACGTACTATTAGCAATCACAGTGACAAGCGAGACACACACTTACAAGTGCCTGTTTTCTGGTATATTTTTAGCCGTGCGTTAAGTGAACAATTATGCCACCTAAGCAACAACAACAACAACAATAAGAACAACAAACACCTCGAATGGCAGCCAACACAAGTGCAGCCCGTTGATAAATGGGCTTGTCTTGCGGCCAAAAGACTCGAGTTTGGCATTGGCCAGTGCCCAGTGGCAGCTCGATCTATTGAATCGGCGAACCAGCGGAACCACACGGTCAGCCAAACTGTCGGCCCGCTGTCTGCTGCATATTCTATGGCTCGGCTGAAGGTCATGCGTGTGGGCGTGGCACGCCCATGTTACACACAATCATTCACAATCCGAGAAAGTCTGAATTTATGGTGTAGAAAGTATGAGAATTGTGCAAATCAGTTCAAATTCCCTGATAAATACTTGAAACATAATGATCGTAGAATTTAATAAAAACCTAATTCATTTTGACAAAGCCAAAAGCTGTAATTTTTGAACTTAGCCTTTTTAGCTTTCCATCAAGTTTGACACTCAAGATAAATTACATTAAAAACCATTTCCCATAAAAAGTGTGGTTATGAAGTCAACTAACCTAAAAAGTGAAAAATACTACATTAACATTTTGACTGTAAATGTAAAATCTATCTTGAGGTGCAATCGTGAACTAAAGATATTTCGCATCAGATGAATTTTTAATAAATAAATTGATAGCACACTAGCGTATAGTAAATAAATAACCTTAGCTCATATAGAATGCCGTTAATTAACGGATTTGAAAAGTGTGGCAACTCGGCGTCAGTTAGTGAGGTTAGTTCTGTTTGCATCCCCGATACGCACTTCGTGCTGACTTGTACGATTTTATATATAAACATTTAACGCAAGCTAGAATAATATGCAATGTACACTCATGCACTCTAGTATATGGATATGTTGTGGCAACAAGTTCAGGTGCATGACGCGGCATTAGCTGAGGCATTGCAACATTTGTCGCAGCAAATGGGATGTGACGATGGCCAACGAGGGGGGGAGGGCAGCTGCAGGCTGCAAGTTTTTGCTGTGACAAAAACGAATGCGCTTTGGCCGTCAATCATTGCCATTATTATTATTATTATTATTATTAGTGTTGCATTCTATCAGTCAGTCAATCAAGGTGCAGCCGTGCCGCATTTTGGCCGTTGGCTAAGGTCAGCATTGGCCAGCGCTGCGTATGAGTAATATGGTATTGGCGCAAATATCTTGTGCCACTGTGCGCCAGTCCATAGAACGCCCACAGCGCGCACATTCGAGTGGCAAGTACTTATTAGCTGAAAATCAAATTAAATGCGAAAAATGCATATTCAAATCGATTTGGCCCCAGGTCGTTCCAGACGCCATTTTCTTTTTCCAGAAGGCGCGTCCGCTGCTCGACTGGAAGTCTGTGTGCGGCTGAGGCTGACGCATTAAACACGCGCGGCTTAAAAAAGATTTAGTATCTAGAAACGATTTAATACTGCACATGACTAATTGGCAATCAATCAAGTTTTGCTGCTGCTTCTTTCGGCCATTACTAAGCAATGCACCAAAGCCGGAGAGCAAAACACAACACGAAACGAAAAGAACATAAAAACAAAAAAACAAAAAAACAAGTATTTACATAACTGAGCATTGTGGATTAGTCATGTTTTGCGGTTGATGTTTGTGCATATGATTGATTTCGCTTTAGTATTTCTATTTTTGCTTTATTCACAATCTATTTTCGTAATTTACGCAATTTGCAATTGCTTCAATTTTCAAATTGCTGCGCAATTCAATGTGCTGCCAGACAGTCTGAAGCACAAGCGCTTGACGCGCTGCCAACTTCAAGTGAGCAGAAAATTGCGCGCAGCCAACTTCAAGCAAACGCATAATTGCGCGATAATGCGATTGCTTTTAGCGCATCGCTGAGCGACGCCCAAGAACGGTTGGCGCCACTTTTTAGATGTAAACAATTTATTAATTATTCAATTGGAGCTGTTTGTGATCATGTATTCGCCGCGCAAGACACTAACAGCGCCTGCAGCGCAGGACTTCGGCTTTCCCTACACGCCCTACGCCATACAGGAGCAGCTGATGCAGCAGCTCTTCCTGGTGCTGGAACGCAAGCAGATTGGCATCTTCGAGAGTCCCACGGGCACCGGCAAGTCGTTGACGCTCACCTGCGGCGCACTCACCTGGCTGCGCCAGCACGAGCAGCTGGTGCGCGCCGAGCTGCTGCAGCGGATTGGCGAAGTCGAGGCCGAACTGTGCAGGCTGCAGGCGGCCAGTGCGCAGGCAGAGGATTGGATAACGGCGCAAAGCAATACGCGAACGCAACGCGAGGAGCTGGCGCAGCTGCTGCGGCTGCGCGAGCTGCTGCAGCAGAAGGAGCAGCAGCTGGACCAGATCAAGCAACGCCGGAAGCAGCAACAGCGTCCGGCGCGACGAGCAGGCGAGTTGCTGCTGCAGGCGGCGGCGGCGGCATCAGCTGAGGACATTGCCACCGAACCGGAGCTGAATTCAGACGAAGACGAGGAGGAGGAAGATGAGCACACAGATCACGCGCTGGCAGAGCAGCCAACGGAGGAACGTTTTCGTGATGTGCAAATCTTCTACTGCAGCCGGACGCACTCGCAGCTGGCGCAGATTGTGACCGAGCTGCGCAAGACGCCGCACGGCCAGCACGTACGCTGCATTGCGCTCGGCTCCCGCCAGCAGCTGTGCGTCAATGCGCAGGTGCGCCGTCTGCCCAACCTGGCGCTCGTCAACGAACGCTGCCTGGACATGGCGCAGGCCAAGCCTAGCTCCCATGCAAATGCCAGCAAGAAGGCACCGCAGTCGCAGTCGCTTAGTCGTTGCGCCCACAAGGCGCCCGCGCAGCTGCAAAAGCTGAGCGATGCGGCGCTCTCGGAGCCGCTCGACATTGAGGAGCTGGCCGCGGCGGGCGCTGCCTGCGGCGCCTGTCCTTACTATGCCACACGCGCCGCCCAGGCGCAGGCACAGCTGGTGCTGCTGCCCTATTCGCTGCTGCTGCAGCGCAGTGCGCGCCAGCAGCTGGGCATCGATCTGCGCGGCGCCATCATCATTGTGGACGAGGCGCACAATCTGCTGGACACCATTGCCCAGCTGCACAGCAGCGAGCTGAGCCTTGGCCAGCTGCAACTGGCCCGCCAGCAGCTGGCCGCCTACAAGGAGCGCTATGCGCGTCGCCTGAGCAGCGCCAATTTGTTGCGGCTAAATCAGCTGCTGTTCGTGGTGCGCCGCCTGCTGCAGCTGCTCGAGTCGAGTGGCGAGCCGCGCCTGCTGCGCACCTATCAGCTGAGCGCCGAGGGCGACTTCTACAACATTGATCTGCACGCCCTGCTGCAGTTCTGCTCGCGCACACGCTTGGCCCAGAAGCTGCACGCCTTTGGGCTGCGGCTGCAGCGTGAGCCACAGCCCAGCGAGAATCGTCCGCCGCCCACGCAACAGCTGCTCCAGCGGCTGGCCGCACAGCATCAGCAGTGCCTGGCGGGTGGCAAACGCAAGCAGTCAGCTGCCAAGGAGCCCGTGACGCCGCAGCCGCAGCCAAAGTCAACAGTGATGCCCAGCTCAGCTGTGCCGTCGCCTTTGCGTCCATTCCTGGCATTTCTGGAGACACTCACCAGCAATGCAGCCGATGGTCGCGTGCTGCTCAATCCCAAGACCTGCACTCTCAAGTATTTGCTGCTCAATCCCGCCGAGCATTTTGCAGACATCGTTTCAGAGGCGCGCGCTGTAAGTTGTTGCCATCAGACATTCAAGCTGCCTTTCATGTTTCACTTCATTTGCAGCTAATCATAGCCGGCGGCACGATGCAGCCGACGCACGAGCTGACCGCCCAGCTGTTTGCCCACTGTTCCGAGCGTGTGGTCGAGCGTTTCTATAGCCACGTTGTGCCAGCGGATGCGGTCCAGCCATTTGTCCTGCCCACAGGACCGACGGGCGCCAAGCTCTGCTTCAACTATGCGCAACGCGCCAGCCCAGCCATGGTGAGTGTCAGACATGTTCTCTTATAGCTATAAGTTCCTTTCGAGCTCGGAAAGACCTACGTGGTGTAGATAGACTAGATATTAGACAAATCAATGGGTATTACTTCCAAAACAACATTATACTAGTTAACTGTAATTGTAAAAACAAAACACATTTCAAAGTTTTATGTCTTTTATCAATTATAATTCGAATCGACTCTATCAAAATTTTGGATTGAGGTGTTAAGAACTCACTCATTGATCTGTCTAACACATTTTGTATTTATATATACCCAAGAAGGTTCCGATTTAGTCAGCCAGGAACTGTCCAAGAACTGTCCTATATAATTTGTATATATCTGTATGTACCCATGGATCTCAGGGTCTGGGCCAGTTAGAGCCTTCAAATTTTGTATGTAGCTGCTCTCATACCGGATAGGCGAGTATGACTTAAGCTTGAAGTTGTTATGTGCTAGCTTTAGCTTTATTTTTGTAAGATCCAATCAAGGAAATCTTCCCGCGCGGCTTCATACCATATATGTACTCATGTAACTCAGAGTTAATCAAGTGCATGGATCATAGTTAACATCACAGCCAGAGGCATGAAACGGGAAACGAATATCTATTCGTGCTCCATGGCTCTTATCGATTAGATAAAGCTAGCATAATAATGATTAACCGTAAGGTTGACTAAAACAGCTTCAATATGTGTGTGCCGCTTCGACCCAATCGTTGTTTCTTTCCACCAGCTGCAGGAGCTCAGCATGGTGCTGCAGAATCTTTGTGGCGTGCTGCCCGCGGGCGTGGTCTGCTTTTTGCCCTCGTACGACTACCTGGATACGGTCTATGGCCATCTGGAGCAGAGCGGCGCCTTGCAACGGATAGGCCAGCGTAAGCGCATCTTTAGGGAAACAGCCGGCAGCGGAAGCGGAAGCGGAGGCGGGGGCGGCGTGGAGCAGCTGCTGCAGCAATACGCCGATGCCATTGGACAGAACGCAGGCGGCGCCCTGTTGCTGAGCGTGGTGGGCGGCAAGCTGTCCGAGGGTCTCAACTTTGCCGACGATCTGGGCCGTGGCGTGATCGTGGTGGGAATGCCATATCCGAATCGCACGGCGCCCGAGCTCAAGGAGCGCATGCGTCACTTGGACGATACGCTGGGCAGCGGCGCCGGCAACGAGTACTATGAGAATCTCTGCATGAAGGCCGTCAACCAGTGCATCGGACGCTCAGTGCGTCACATACACGACTACGCCTGCGTCTATCTGCTGGACGAACGCTATGCCAGTGCACGCATCCAGCAGAAGCTGCCAGCTTGGATTGCCCAGCACATAACGGTGGCCAACGACGGCTTCGGAGCAGTTCAAGCGCGCACAGCGCGATTTTTTAAGGCCAGAAGCTAAACAATCAACGATGGGAACTATAAATCAGTTTATAATTTGCTGGAGAATCTTTGTAGAGTGTAGAATTTAATTGAGATTGCGAAGGGTATCTGACAGCAGTCAGAGATTGTCAAAGTCCCGACAATCTCGATGGGATTGGCAGGGGTAGGATGGTCGAGAATCTTTATGGGCTATCAATCTCTGGCGAATCTGTTGGCGCATTTAAAGAAATTCCAAGTATTATCCAAGTTAATTTCGAATGTAACAAAAACTTTTTTTTATTAACAATAAATTTGTAGAATTGGCGAAAATGATTTCACGTCGAAATCTCAACAGCACGAGAATATTGGGCAAAGAGTAGATTGTAGGATGGAAAATTGCAGCACTGCATATCGGTGCGTTTCCAGTTGGATAGCGTTGAGTATTCAATCTCCAGCTCCTTCATTGTCTCGTAGGCCAGCGAGGATTTGTTGGCAAAGATGGTGACAATGAATTTGCCCGGCTTAAAGGTCTTGATAACCTGATTAATCAATTTCGTATAGTTATTCAGCGCCACATTGCTCTCGAAGCTCACATAGGAGAACTTCTCCTCGGGCGTGATGTGTATGGTCATGTATTCGCCATGCTTATTGATGCCGTTCATCGAGTAGCCGCACGGATCGAACTGGAAGTCGTCGATGACCATGTCGGGCAGTATTTGATCTATGCCAGAGTGTGCCGTCGCTTCGGGCCCAGTGGAGCAGTGGGTCTTGCTGAAGACTGACATCACGTTCTTGTCTAGATTTTGCATAAGTATCTCGATGGTTTGATCGGGATCAGCATCTATATTGTTCTCCTCGACAATAATATCGGGCAGGGCTTTCAGCTCCGGCTTGCTGAACGTATAAAGATACCAGCATTCCAGATTAATCGAGCCCAAGCAGTACGATCGGCCTTCGGGAAATATGGTATCCAAATAGGTGACCTCCTCGTAAAAGCCTTTGTGTGGACTATTCTGTACCTCGGGTCGGGTAAAGTTCTTTCTCGAATAGAATATGTCGCTGATCACACTGAAACCGTGAACTTTGGCCAATTTGAGCAGCTGCTCCAGGCATTTCAACGGCGTCGTTGTTCCACAGGTCTTCAGTATCCATCTGCGCTTCGAGACGAACATGCTGCTCTCGCTTAAAAGGAATGCATCAATAAAATCATTTTTGGTGAAGCTGATTATTTCGCATTTCACGTGGCGCAGCAGATTCTCCCATTCAGGCCGCGTTATGTTGCGTAAGTCGCCTGTCGGACTTGAGCTCTCCTCAAACCATATCTCCAATAGCTTCTCAACGCCTTCAAAAAAGTGTGCCATGTCCGGCATGGCGAGGGCTTTTTGATCCATCGGATAAAAGAACTTCAAAACAACTAAGCTAGGGATGCACTAGATACATCGACTACACACACTAGTTCAAGATACTTTGCAGCAGTCGGCCTATCGATATGTGCAATATATATCGATAGGGCAATTCGGCACGGCGATTCGTACGGCCGATATATCTACCTGTTCAATCGCAGCTGATTTTTTAATATTTGTTAGCTAAATTGACAGAACAGGCTTCGGATTGGCCTTCTTAAACAAAATACAAATTGCTTTTTAGTAGTAGCTTGATTATTGCTTAGTTTTGACTGAGCAGCTTGAGCAGAACCTTACATGGTTAATACTTCAAATTTCGTTTAGATTTACGCGAATATAGCAAACAAAAATATATAATAATATAAAATTCCAATGCTAAGCCACTACGATTCAAATATTTGATTGTGAGCGGGCAGTATCGATACTTAAACATGCTTGCAGACATCGATATATTTTTCATAAATACAGTATTTATTAAATTTTGGTATTTCTCGCATACATAAGATAATAGGCAAATACATAAATACATGCGCTTAGTAACAACACACATGTTACTGGATATACAATATGTTCTTCGCATAATGAGCATTAGGTAAAACCGAAAACTACTTTTTGTCCACAATACTTCAATACTAGAGCTGTTAATCATTTTCTTAATTTATGTATGTTTCTTGGTGTTTGCTGACACGAGCAGCTAGCTCTTTATTATGTTAGAAAGTAATTTGAAAGATTAATTTTACGCTAATGGAGCAAATCTGAAAACAAGCAAAATTTTTATATAATCTGGCCTAGTGTGCAGGCATTTATAAGAGTATTTGAACTTCGTTAAGTTAAAATTGCCGATTTCTTAGCTGCTTAACAAGCACTTTGAGTATTTTCTGCTTTAGTTGCGCACGGTCACACTGTCGTTTATGTGTGTGTTGTTTGTCGCTCTGCACTCCATAAAGCGGATAGATAGTCGTACGTCCGTTTCAACAAAATTGAATATGTGAAGCACAGTTGAGCTTTTAATTACAATTTCATAAACTAAAAAGCGCTGCATGTGCACAAAGTACGTAAATCGGTGAATATTCCAGTGTTCATTCCAACGTGTGTTTTTATTCGAATAACCGTGTCGCGCTGTATATATACATATGTGTGTTAGTGTGTGCGTGTGTCGAGTGCCTGTTCGTGCGTGCGTGTGTGTGTGTGTGTGTGTGTTGGTTTACGTTTGAAAAATGCATTTGGTTCGTTATAAACAGCTACAGTTCGATGCGATTCGAAACGCTTTGCAGCGTAGACCCCCAGCAAGAGCAGCCGCAGCCAAGTTCAAGTCCAGCTTTGAATAAACGGTTAATCAAAAGAAAAGAACGCCTTTCAATCGGAAACTCAAAAATTGAGATTCACGTTTCCCTCTATATTTACTTTTCACATGTGCCCGGGCTGATAAGATGCTCGGGAACTGGTGGCTCCCCTGTTTGCTTATTATATCTACTACGCTTCCCTCTGTGTGTGCGTGCGCGCGCCTTCGCATTGCTTTGATTCATGAACAAGATATGCCGACCCGGCGGGCACGCTCTGTAATGGCAACAACAACTTTTAGAACACTGGTCGCCGCCATTGAACAAATATTTATTACTAATAATAATTTTGCCTCAATTTACTTGGCGGCGATAAAACGCTGACGCCAGCTTAAGAATTTTTATAAAAGGTTGCTCAGATTACATGCACACATGCACACACACACACACACACACACACACACATACAACGTTTGTACCTCTCAAAGTGTGTGTGTGTGTGTGTGTGTGTGTGTGTGTGTGTGTGTGTGTGTGTGTGTGTGTGTGTGTGTGTGTGTGTGTGTGTGTGTGTGTGTGTGTGTGTGTGTGTGTGTGTGTGTGTGTGTGTGTGTGTGTGTGTGTGTGTGTGTGTGTGTGTGTGTGTGTGTGTGTGTGTGTGTGTGTGTGTGTGTGTGTGTGTGTGTGTGTGTGTGTGTGTGTGGTGCCTCTGCCCGGCCAGAAACTTGGATAGGTTTGCTCATAATAGTTGTCACCGGAGCTGCAGTCAGCGTTTAAAGCGGTTATTCTCGTTAGTTGTTGTTATTTTGCTGTAAAAAACTTGTTTTTATCGCTGACTATGATAAAAGTGGCACACATTTTATACATTTTTACTATAACAAAAAAGAAAACCAAAAAACTGAAAACTGAAAACTCAGCTGAAAAGCGCTCAAAAGTGTTGCCCCATCTCTTTTACTGTTGCAGTTGCATTTGAATATCTGCTGGCCAGCTATCGTTATCGATATGAATCATGCGCCGACTTGTTTACGTTCCTAAACTATAGCGCTGTGCCACAATTTGAATTCCTGCTGCCCCCCCCCCCCCCTCTCCCCACAAACCATTTTTTGCCCCTCTGTAACTGAGCGCCGCAATACCCTTCGCTAGCCGATAGTTAGGCTCGGCGTTGCCAGCTAGCGCTTAAAAAAGTAGCCGAATTCGAGCTAAAAATAGCTGAATTCTCTTTCTAGCCATGCGAGTCTAATATTTAACATATTCCTGCCATACATCAGCTAATAAGAAGAAGAAACGTTTAATTCGTGCTTTTTATGCATTCTAACGCCTTTGTAGGGCATACGCGTTTCGGTGTGTGTGCAGCGCGGCAGCGCTGTCGAGTTCATTTTCTTGCCTTTGGCAGCCGAAAACGTTGCGCAGGTTTTTCAATTCATTCGCATTTGGACCGCAGTCGCGGCAACAACGCTACTTGCGAAACGAAACGAAACGGTAAATGAAACAACGCCCCGTGGCCGTTAAACGTGCGTCGGTGAAACCAAAGCAAAAAGAAAACGAAAGAATTAATGACAAAAAAAAAAAAAACAAAAAAACAGAAAATACACAACGCGTGCTGTGCAACAACAACAACAACAACAATAACGACCATTTACATAATTGATAATTTAATTTACATAATTGTGCATTTATTTTTGACAACAATAATAAATCGAAGCAAATCTCCAGCGGGGTTGCCGATAAGCAGCGCCTTTTTTTTTTATCAAATTGTGTGCAGTTTTTTTTTGCCTGCAAATTTGGTCCTTTGTTTTTTTTTTTTGAATGGTTATGTTTCTGCGCTGAGTGCGAGCGAGATAGCGAGCGGCGAATGCGGCAGATGAAATCAAAACAAAAATTGTTGTGTGCTTCGCAATTTTGCAAAGTGCCGTTAGGTAGGAAGGCTGCGTATATGCCGTTATATTACTACAGTTGTGTGTAGAATTTATGTTTGTTCTTTTTTTTTTTTTTTTGGTGATTCCTTTTTGTTATTTTTTTGGGTGTGTGAAAAGTGAAAGTGAAAATTTAGCCCAAGCAACGCACACACACACACACACACACATACATACACAGGCACAGACACAGGCATGGGCACGCACGCTGCCACAGGACATAGAAACAAACGAAATAGAGAGAACAAAGAGAGCGAGCGTGTAAGAGAGAGCGCTTGTGTCTAGGCAGGAGAGCATGCGTTTTGGGGTCGGCGCTACAATTTGGAATTTGGCACAGCGTGTGAAGCGCACGCATTAACACCCCCGCAGCAGCCCGGCGCTCTCTCTCTCTCTCTCTCTCTCTCTCTCTCTCTCTCTCTCTCTCACTCGCTCACACGCAGGTTCCCTTGTGCTGCTCTGCGCACACAATTGTCAGGCGTGCGTGCGTGCGTGCCTATGTGTTTGTTTGTGTGTGTGCGCGTAAAGGAAGCATACGAATGTAGCCCAATCCCCCCTTCAACTACTTCTACCCCTCTTGCAGCAGTGAGTGTAATGCGCTAAACTCTCAAGTCAATTTTGCGTTGAAACGAGACGCCGTCGTCGTCGTCGCAGCAGCGACGTTGTGACGTCAAAAGCAGCAGCAGCAGCAGCAGCAGGAGCGTTGCCATATCTACTCCCGCCTGACGCCTCCCCGCAACACACACACCACACACACGCACACACACACAACTCGCATACGAAAACAATATAAAGGAGCACATACCAAAAAACCAAGTAGAAGAAGAAGAAGAAGCAGCAGCGGCGGCAGCACAACGAATACGACAACTAGCCATAATACGTGTGAAAGAGCGGGAGAGACAGATAGAGAGAGCGAGAGAAAGAGAACGTTAGCTTTGTGCGAGCAACAACTACAACTACAACTACAACAAGAACAAGAACAAGAAGAGCGACAACGTTGCAAAAGGAGCCATAAAAATGGAACAGCCGAGCATACTCGTTAAAATCCTGCATTCAATACCGCATGTGAATTACACATTTCGTCGGGTTAATGACACCTTCAATCCGGATAGCGATGTTTACCTAGAGGTGAGTACCGCGCACAAGGATCTAGGAGTAAATACTTCACCCAACCCCCCCCCCCCCCCCCCCTCACACCACCCCCTCGCACGCACGCACAAACAGCGTGCCAAAGTAGCGCCACGGTTTCTATTTCATTTTCTGTAGCATTTGTGGAGTGGCTGCAAGTGCCGCCTCAAGTGGTGCCTCTCCTCCTCCTCTTCCTCCTCCTCCTCCTGCCTCTCCTCCTCCGCCGCCTCCTGGCTGGCGTGTTTGCCCCACTTGAGACCCCGCAATTATGCACTTGAAGTGCGTCCCATTTACAATTGATTGCATTTTGATTTGTTTAGTTTTACATCTATCTACTCGGGTTGTATACACTTTATTGTAGTGTTTGCCATAAATTTCTAGCTCTCTTTTTTTTTATATATATATATTATAGTTTTTTTTTTGTACAAACGCTCTCATTTACCTGTAAGCAGCGCGCTCTCTCTCTCTCTCTCTCTCGCTCGCTCTTTCCAGCTATGCAACTCGGTCCATTTCTCCCTCTCTCTCTCCCTTTCTCTCGCTCTCTCTAGCTCTATCTGCTGCAATTGCACAAAAACTCGCAACAACAACGCGGCGTTGATTAATTTCGATATTTCCCATTTTGTTTACGCCTTTTGTTGCCTGCAAGCGTCTGTCGAGCCCTTTTTGTTCCATTCCCAACACGTTCCGCTCGCACAACGCGCGCTGCTGCTGCTGCTTGCCATGTGCGCTGCATGTGCCCGGATTCTTGTCTACCTCCGCCCTCGCCTCGCCTCTCCTCGCCTTGTCTTGCCTTGCCTTGTCTTGCCTTGCCGTGGTTGGTGGCCGGGGGGCGTGGACGCACAGCTAGTACACACACTTCCGGCTTCCCATATTCTTTTTTTTTGTATTCTTTCATTCCTTTTGTTTGGTTTCTTTTGATTGCCGTTGTCTACGGCCCCCGCCATGAATCAATGGGCATGGCTGCTGGGCCCAGTAGCCGAGCCCGAAATCCCGAACCCTACAGCCCCCCGGCAACAGCCACTCACCTCGATGCGCAGCGGGAACGCACAGCAGATGCCTTTGTTTGGCTGACGATCTGCCTTTGGGTTTTTACGCCTTCACCCCCGCCCCCGCCCCCGTTAACGTCTACCACGCGCAGCGCTTTGAGCCGCGGGTTATCTCTCGGCATCTTTAGCCAGTGGTCCGCATGATAACAGCGGCAGCACAAAAAACAACCCAGACCGTACCGCGCGAGCGTATGCGACTGAACGATACCCTGTTTCCAGCACGATTGGACGGGACTTTAATATAATTCGGGTTAAATTATTCCAGTTGTTCGATTGTCCAAAATTACTCTCAATAAGTTAATGTTCATCAGTTGTCTACAAGTGCGGGGACTTTAAAACTGTGTGCCTCTCAAACTGTAGTCGATATGAAAGATTGGGCGTGGCTATATTTCTTCAAGGCGATCATTAACAATCATTATCAAAACACAATGTGACTCAGCAGCTGAAAAACTCTAAAACTGTAAATGTTGACCTTAAAACTGGGGCAAATACGCAAACTTCTTCTAAATTTAAGACTACAAAACTGTGGCTCCAAAACTGTAATAGTTATATAACTGAGCGATTTGCAATATTACAAACCTTAGCTTCTATGCAATTCAATTCAATGACTCTTAAACTGTAAGTTCGAAGCGGTGACTCTCAAACTGTGGCGACTTAATATTCATAAAAGTGTGCAGAAGACAAATATTTTTTATTTAAGCTTGTGAGCTAACTGAATGGCTCTAAAACGGTGGCTCCAAAACTGTGGCTCCAAAACTCTAAAACTTTGGCTCCAAAACTGTAAGAATTGATTAGTGAAACCAAGTTATGCAAGAGCTTGACATGCCTTGCCTTAAAAAGTGTTTGCGACAGACAATCAACTCGTTATGTCCCAAAAAAAAAAAGCAGGGTATGCTCAGAAATAATGTGGAAAAAAAAGCCGAAAACGTTGCCTTTGTGCTCGGTGCGACGCCGACGTCAGCGCCATTACGCACAAGGCCGAGCCGGGCCACGACCACGTCAACATCAATTACCCGGCCAAGAGCCAGAAACAGAAACAGAAACAGAGCTCGAAGCTGGCTCGGACGACGCCCAAAGGCGTTGCACGTGCGCTCCTTTATGTCCTTTGGGATGCGGCATAGCTCAGCTGCTCCGCTTTGGTCTGGCCTGGTCTGGTCGGGTTTGGTCTGGTCTGGTCTGGTCCACTCAGCCAGCCTTATGCAAATTACCAAATGCCAAATGCACTTCTTTTTTTCTAGTCGGCTTTCAGTTTTTCCAGTTGGTTTTTCCGCACCAACGAGGAGTGACAGAGAGAGAGAGAGAGAGAAGAAGAGTGCCAGCTGCGAGATTTGATTGAAATTAGCTGGCCATTGCAATAGCTTTTAGTCGCTGCCCGCCGCCGCCGGCTGTTGGATGAGGAGGTGGCTTCCAGCGGCATTGTTAAATTCAGGTCAGCTTACCCCAGCCCGACGCTCGTTCAAATTTGTTGTTGTTGTTTTTTTTGTTGCTTTCTGCCTGGCTCGGCTTTGGCTTTTTTTTCTTGGATGCGGATGTAGGTCAGCTGTCGCTGCTGTCGCTGCTGCTGCTGCTGCTGCTGCTGCATTGGGCGTAGTTTTTTACGCGCGTCAGCAAAAAGCGCCGGAGCAGGCACAAACCCACTTCCACTTCCACTCCCAGTCACAGTCGCAGTCGCAGTCGCAGTCAGAAAACGAGGACAGGAGCGAGGCAGGGTTTGGTTGATTTTGTGCTGCTGCTCCAAATTGTTGGGCAGGTGGGTTACGCCGGCTATCGACAGCGCAGTTGTTCGGGTCGCGGCAAGTACGTCACAGGGGATTACCCATGGCCATAATGGGGGCTGACAATGAGCCAGCACTTAAGCCAATTCTGTTAGCGGTTGCGTTTGGCTGGCAAATGAGCCCACTAAGCTAATCTGCTTATCGACTGGAACGCGACCAGCTGATGGGCTGCCGGCCCAAAAGAGACACAAAATTTGCTGAAATTGCATAAGGATCTATTACAGCACGATGAGATAAAAGGAAAGTTGCGATTGTAATAGATTTCAAAGTACGCCCCATCGCTTAAGTTCAAGCTGCTTACGGAGCGAGCCAGAGAGAGAAAGAGAGAGGGAGAGACGAAAGAGTAAGAAGCAAGATGTTTCCCTATTCAATTAGTGCTAGTTCACATTTAACATATGCCCAGCTGCGAGTAGCTGCTCACATACAACTTAAGCGGAGAATTAATCCTTGTTCTATACGTTAAAGCCTTCCACATTTTGTCTATATCTAGTGGCCCTCATAATGCCCAGAATACAGCAAGAAATATCATACTTAACAATATTAAAGCAACATTGCACGTCGACTTCAAGTGACGTTTCCCTGCTTTATCTAGTTACAGTCTAGGAATAGCTGAACATGAGAGGGCCCAAGCCTGATGATATACGGGAAAAGAATTGTACTACAAAGCAAACAGAGCTAAGATTAACCCAGCTACTGGCCATGGTTGTGTACTAGGCATATGCTGAGTTTTCAGCTTTTATTAAAGGGAAAACATCTGCTATTTCTTTAACGCTGATTGATTAGGAGAAGGCCCATGCCTGACATCAGTAGAAACATTTAACTCTGATCCAAGCGGAGCTAAGATTATTTCGGCTACTTTCGCTAGTTATGTGCTGTGTTTTCAGCCTTAACTGAAAGGGAAACATCTGCTATTTCCCTCACACTTTGATTAAAGGAACATTTAAATCCGATTCAAACAGAGCTTAGATTATTGGACTTTGATTAAAGGAACATTTAAGATAATTTCCCTAGTTATGTGCTGAGTTTTCAGCTGTATTTGCAAGCGAAACATCTGCTATTTACTTTTAAATGCCTCTACTTACGCCCGGTTATTTCTTGGGACAACAACAATTTATCATATTTGGAATTGAGACCGGAACTGTATGCCCTTCCCTATGTCCGAAGCACAGCCCAACCCTTACCCTAACCCTTGGCAGTGCCCACTTTCTAGGCGCGACATTATTGCTAGCACTCACTTTGTCTAGCCTCTTATAATTCAAATTGTGTTTAATCAGCTCGTGTCATATAGGCTTCCTGCCTCGCCCGTACGACCCTTTGGCCCGCCTCCTCCTCTCCTGCCCACTGTTCACACATTGCAATTCTGCTGGCGTCGACGCTGCTGTTGCTGTTGATGATGATCAATTTAACCTTCAAATAGCTACACAATTGCTCTTGACAACAATGACAACAGCAACAACAACAACAACAGCAACAATGCTGACGCTGACGAGTGTTGCCCCACAGCCACCTCTTCGGGGCATGCATAACCTGTTTGCCCCCCACCTCAATGGTTTGTCCTCTAGTGTTGATGGAGAGCCTCTCTCTCTATCTTTCTCTCCCTTATTCTCACACTCTCTGCCTGTCTCGCTCACGCCACCTCCTGTGTCATCAGCTGCTTGTCTAGCTGCCTGCCCCAAGGTGATGACGCACTTTGTTGCCCGTGCGGGCAGCTCGCAGAGCTGGGATACCAGCTCTTTGGAACTCGTTACGCATTGGAACCCGCATGTCATGTACCATATTATAGATAGATTCGCATCCAGCATTTTCAATGCTTGTTAGCTTTCATTTATACACGCTCTATACCCATTAGAAAGCGGGCGGCGGAGGCATTTTAAAGTTGTGCGCACGTTTGTGACGGACTGAAAGCATCAAACGTTGTGCAGCTTGTAGCTTCAATTTATCGATAAATATCGATGCTTCACTTCCCATTTGAGAGATAATTAGATACGCAAATATAAAAAACAAATCACTTTACTTGATATTCATAATAGATAGTTATCAATTCGCCAAATTTAACAATTACGCTCTTGTTTAGTAGGCTATAATCGATAGTTATCGATAGCTTACAGCTGACAGCCAACGAGAAAACTAAATCATAAAAAAAGTTTCCCTTTTAATTGTAATTTATGTGCTTAATTGA